AATTATATAAAGTTTTATTAATAAATCTTTAGAATAATATTAAAATACTAATAAATTTAAATAATATTATTAAAGATTTAAATAAATCTAATTAAATTTAGAAAGTAGTAAGATATTTTTATTCTTTTTTTATTTATAGATTATTAAAGATAAAAATAATATTAATTTTTAAAAAATATTTTATTTTTTTTCAATTATTTAGTATTTTTTTTATTAATAGTAATAGATAATAATCTTTTATAATAATTATATTTGAAACTTAATAGTCTATATAAAATTATAATCTTTTTTTAGATTTTTTTATAAACAAAATAAAGAATATAGTAGAAGAAAAATTAGAATAAATAAAAATTTTTTTAAATTTTTTTTAATCTATTTTTTTAAAACTTTCAATTTATTTTAGAATATACTATATAGACTTTTAAATAATAAGATTTTTTTAGATATTAGTTTAATTTTATAATTATTAGATTAATAAAATAGTAAATATTTAATTTTTTTTAATAAGAATATATTATAAAATTTAACAAATTTAAAAGATAATTATATATATAATTTAGATTTAATAATAATAATAGGATTTAAAATAATTTTAATATTTATAATAAAAACAATAAATATTTAATATTTATAATAAATATATATAATATAGACAACAACTAAAACTCTTATAATATCTTAATCTTTTAAAGATTTAAAATAAAGATTTAAAAATCAAAATAAAACTTTTAATAATATATTATATAATACTAAAATCTTTAATCAAAATAAATTAAAAATAATAAAAAAATATATAAATTAGATTATAAAGAAAATAATATTTTTTTTAATATAATTATAAATTCTTTAAATTAAATAAATAAGATATATAATATAATTAAACTTTACTAGAATATTATTAATTTCTTTTAATAAAATGAGATTTTTTAATAATAGTATTTTTAATTTATTATTTATAATTTAATTATAATCTATAAAATATTTATTTTCAACTTTAAAATTAATTATAACAAAAATTAATAAAATCTTATTAAAAGTTTTTAATTTTATAAATAAGATTATTAATTTAAATTAATAACTTTTCTTTTCTATTATTATTCTAATTATTATAATTTTTAATAAATAAAAAAAATACTAAAGATATCTTTAATTATAATTTAAATTAAAAATATTTTATTTTCTAAGTTAAATAATAAAAAATATTTAATAAATAAGATTTTAAATAATAAAATATATAGTTTTAAATTAATAATAAATATAAAGATATAATTAAATTATCTTTAATTAAAAAATAAATAACTTTCTATTAAATAATTAATATTACTATAATAATAATATAAATAATAAATTTAATATTTAAAATAATAGATAATAAATAAATCTATTAAATCTTTAATAAAAATAGTAGTAGCTATAGATATAAATTAAATTAATATAATAAAAAAAATAATAAAAAAAATAGAAATAAAAATAGAAATAGACTTTAAAGTTAATTTTAAAAATTAGAAATTTTTAATAATAGTAAATAAAATAATATTTATATAATAATAATAATAATTTTTAAAATTTTCTAAATAATTAATAAATATATAATACTTATATAATAGATTTTTAAAATATATTAATATTTTATAAAATTCTTTATTAATAATTTATTTTAGAATTATAAATAATATATTTTTATTTACTTCTTTTTCTAATATTAATTATTAGAATTTAGTAAAAAAAATATTAAATTTATAATAAATCTATTTTAAATAGAAGAATTTAATATAAATATTAATTATAAGATTTAGATTTTTAAAAATATACTTTAAGATTTTTAATATCTTAATATAATTCTTTAGATTATAAATTCTTTTATATAAATATAATAAGATTTAAATATAAAAGATTCTATTTAATTAATTAACTATATAAATAATATAATTTTTCTTAATAAAAAATTAATTAAAATTTATATTTATTCTTTAAATAATTTAAAAAATAAATCTTTATAAATTATTTTATTAATTAATAAATTTATTAAAATTAAAGATTTATTTTAAAAAAAAAGGTAAATAAATATATTAATAGATAGTAAAAATATTTTTATTAGAATAATTTTATAAGTTTTAGTAAAGAATATAATAGGAATAAAAGATAGAAGTATATTAATAATAAAAATAATAATAGTATAAATATTAATTAATTATTATTATAATCTTTTTCGCAACTTTTTTTAATATATAATAACTCTTTTATTATAATTAATTTTTTATTAAAGATTAAAGACTTTTTATTAAAGTTTAATATTCTTTTTTTAAAGTTTAATAGTTGTTAAATAAAAGTCTTATAAACTTTTTAATTTATAATATTCTTTTATAATAATAACTATAAAAAAACTAATTTGAATAATATATTTAATTTAAACTAAAAGAAATCTAATGATAAACTAATTAACTTCTAGTAGAGAAGGAGCTATATAATATTAAAAGATAAAATAAGATTAGATTTAGATAAGACTAGAAACAAACACAAACAAATAAACAAACAAATAAACAAACAAATAAATAGATAGATAATAGGATATAGAATAGAAATAGGATATAGTTTAAAGAACTACAATAGAATCAGGAATGGTATAATTTAAATATAGGAACAGAAATGAATAGTTATAGTAGAATCTAGACTGAGGAGTACTATAGTCTCATACTATGATAGAACTTCTTTTATTAATTTTAGATTAAATATTAAATAATAATAAATTAAAACTAATATTTAGATTATTATTTGATATTAATCTATTTAATAATTTATTATAGAATATATAATTTAATATTTTAAAAATTTTAAAAATCTAAGATTCTATTAATATTATTTAATATCTAGATTTATTAATATTAAATAGATTCTATATTATATATTAATATTTTTAAAATTAATAAAATAATAATTAAATATTTAAAAATAAATTAAATATTATTAAATTTATTATTTTTTAAATATATAAATATTTTAAAGAATATTCTATAAAAAAAATAAAATAAAATAGATTAAAATCTAAAGTTTTATTTTAACTTATAAATACTATATAGTTTCTATATAAAAAAGAAAATATTTTTTATACTTTTAGATTTTATTAATTAATTTCAATAATTCTATCTATATTTAATAATATATTTAGATTAAATACTATAATATAATATATACAAATTCACTTCTATTATATCATTAATTTAACAATCTCACTCTTAAATCCAACAAAATAAATAATACAAAAAGTCTATCCATTATATCATCTAACATATATTTAATCAATCAAAAGATACCCTTCGATCGTGGATTAGATTCCATTTCCTTCCATCCGAGATAAATTGATTTTGTTGCATGCCGGAAATCCAAACGTCGATGACATTTTCTGCAACGCTGTCAGTGGATATGTGGTTCAAACAAACATGTCCGAACTTGTTGAAGGCGCATCTGCGCTTCCAGTCCATGTATGAGTACTTGATAGAAGATTGATTTAACGGCCTCTTTATATCTATTAAGTAACTCTTTGGATATCTTTGTATATTCAAATCTCAGCTTAACTTATTCTCATACTCCTCTAAGACTAAAGAGATCGTATAGAGATAAGAGCTTTGTTCCTGTCTTCTTATAAACCTCTTGCCCTTTAATACCAAACAACAGCGACGACCCCTGTGACCCCCACAGCCTCCACAATCACAGCGAGCTACTATAGTCTCTTCGACCGCCTGCTGTTGTATAGTTAGCTCCATACTAGAGTACAAAGGATAGAAATAGAAAGCGAGCAGGACTTACATTGCCTCCTTGGGAGGACTTTTTGTTTTCAGCCGCGGCCGATTTTCTCTCCCCCTTCTTTTGGACGGGGGTTTCCTCCTATCTCAAAATCAGTATGTTCCATGAGTGTATATAGGAGAAGAATGAAATAATGAATTGGATGATGAGGAACTGATGAAAAGCCTTCAAGCTGGAAAATGTGACTTACCGTAGAAGCGCAGTCTTTGCTCCCATCTTTGAGGCGGGAGTTTCCTCTGCCGGAGTCTTTTTGCTTTCCGGTGGCGGTGGAGGAGGAGGGGGAGAGGGGGGGTGAGCTGGGGAGCTCCAGTTGTTGCCGTCCATTTCCCTTTTGATGTGGGCCATTTTCCTTTTTTTTTTTGGAAACTTGTAGAAAAAGAAAAAGAGGGTGGCAGCGGATGGGGGTGTGATTTCCTTGCGGCATCAAAGATCCACCTAGCTCTTCATCTCTTGAACGCCCCCTTATTTCGTTCTGTAATTCCACCAGACCGACAGTGGCTGAATCGTGTCAAGCAAGCATGGATCTTCGCGGGGAGGAGAAGTCGAATTCCGTAGCGCATTAAAAGATCTACCTCGAAGCTTCAGTCTAGCTGATCTTCTTCCATATTGACTTCCGACATTTTGGGGTTGTCGGAATTTGGAGAAAAGAGAGAAGAGGGTGGGAGGAGGGGGGTATTATTATTAACGTCCTGAGGAGGCAAGAGCTTTGTAAGAAGGCAGGAGCGAAGCTCTTGCCCCCGATCTCCCTAGTAGTATGAGGATGAGCTAAGCCGACCTCGGGAGATTTACTTAAGTAAATATACCTAGGTACAAAGATATCTAGAGTGCAACCAATCGATATGGCGTCGGTGTTCCAAATCAACCCGGACGCACACGATCTAGCTCTCGATCGCCCGGAAGCGATGGAATAGAACCCGCCACGGGAAGTACTTCTCGAGACAGGCCCACGCACCAATGAATTCGTGATGCTAAGTAGCATGTCGTATATGAACCCTCAATATCTGCGCTATCCTTGATGGGAATGACTACTTAAAGTCTTCTTGGCAACGATGTCATTAATGACATCGTTGCCAACGTAGTGAGTATAAAAGGTGATCTTTCTCTCCAACTATTCTTTCTTCTTCTTCTTCTCTCTCCCCTGAACAGTCTCAAGACTGTCGGAGACTGTCATATATAGCAAAACTGATAGCTTCTCGGCCATGCTAATCTTCTCTAGTATGTTTTCATTTGACCAAATGCCCCCATACTCCCCTCTCCTTCCATTGACGAACATGACTAACCGTTGTATAGGACCTACGACCTTCTACGACTACGATCCTCTACGACTACGATCCTCTACGACTACGACCTTCTACGACTACGACCCTCTACGACGACGACCCTCTCCAGGGCTAGAACGACAATATAGCAAAACTGATAGCTTCTCGGCCATGCTAATCTTCTCTAGTATGTTTTCATTTGACCCCATACTCCCCTCCCCTTCCATTGACGGACATGACTAACCGTTGTATAGGACCTTCGACTCTCTACAACAGCAACCCTCTACGACGGCAATCTAGCAAAACTGGTAACTTCTCGGTCATACTAATCTTCTCTAGTATACTTTCATTTGACCAAATGCCCCATACTCCCCTCCCCTTCCATTGACGGACATGACTAACCGTTGTATAGGACCTCGGACCTTCGATCCTCCACGACAGCGATCCTCCACGACAGCGATCCTCCACGATGATTCTGCACGTCGGCGACCCTCTATGATGTGATTATCTACAAACAAGAGACAAGTCTTTCAAGGTTCTAGCGGCACATTGAGACTTTGCATCTAATCTCTGAATAGCTTCATGAACCTCTTATCATATTACATAGTGAAATAATGTTGATCAAAGAATGACCCTTTGGGCCTCATTTTTTTTAAAAATTTGAAAAAAAAAACCCACCTCCCTCCCTGTTGATGATACAGAAAAAAAAAAACAAAAAACAAAAACAAAAAAGTCCCACCCTCCGTCCCTGACTATATACAGAAGAATATAAAAACAAAAAATTCAAAAAACAAAAAAACAAAACAAAAAGAGAAAAAAAATAAAACAAAACAAAAAACAAAAAAAAACAAAAACAAATGCCTCACGCGTTCTCGCCGCCGCCGCCTAGATAGTCCATGTCAGTATCAGCTTCATCATTCTCACAAAGGAACAAGCAACAATAGTTATAGGAGAGGACTGGCCTCGCATATGACTTAATGTGGCAGGGGATAGGAAAAAGAAAGTGATACTTACGGCCACGGCGGTTGTGCTCTTGCCGGCGGCGTTGGTTTTGGCTACTGCGGCGGTCACTACCGTTCCGGTGAGCAGCAGCAGCCTCTTCCACCCGTTGCTGTTGTATAGTTAGTTCCATTCTATAGTACAGAGTCTTGGACAAAAAGCTTTACTTACCCGGGCTTCGAGACGGGCGACCGTCTGAATACCGTCCCAGAAGACAGTGTCCTATATCAGTATTCTGTCAGTCTTATTCCCCTTGAGATTTCACGCAAATGATGTAATGGACGTATCCAGTGATATTATTATGTAGTTCGTTCTCGACTTTGGTTGAGACTTTTTTGCCCTCTTTCGAAGGCTTTTTGATTTCTTCTATAGAGTTGGAGAAACGATGTACTGCTATGGCAGATTTCAACAGAGTTTGTTCGGTGTATACCATAAGATGTGTATCATCATGCGGATCTGAATCATGTCGAATCACGATAGGGCATAGACCGGGGAATGTAAGGGTAAGAGGTCAAAGGTGGAATGAAATCTGATAAACTTACCTTGTCAACCCAGTCGGTGGGCCGGGGACGCTGCTAGATTGTGTTAGTATAATTCTAGATATCGAGTCATTAGTTGATTATGAGTGTTGGAGGGAAAATATGGTGATGCTGTGGACATGCAGGGTTCTATAAGTATTCAACGGAGTGATCCGTGAATAAATTGCAGGTATTGATCCATTCAGGGTATTTTCGAATGGGAATTGTGATGTAGAGTATAGGGTTTGTGAAGACAACTCAAGTAGACATCACAGGAGTAGTTCTTTGGATGAGACGAGGATGGGAATGGGAGGTAAGCAGGACTTACGTTACCTCCTCGGGAGGTATGTTTGCCTCTGTTCGAGGACTTTGAGATGTTCCTTCGGGAGGACTTTCCTTTATTGGCCTGGGCTGATTTCTTGCCTTTTTGAGGCTTTTCGCTCTCTTTCTTTGCTGTGGCGGGGGTCTCCTCTTTCTTCTATCTCAAAATCAGTATATTCCATGAGTGTAGATAGGATAAGGATGAAATAATGAATTGGATGATGAGGAACTGATGAAAAGCCTTAGAGCTGGACACGACTTACGTTTGAGGGGCCAGGTTCTCGCCCCATCTTTTCAGTGGGGGTTTCTGTCCCAAGCTCAAGAGCCTGGGTCTGGGCAACGAGAGCGTTTTCCATTGGCTCCGTTGTGGACAGGGGAGGGAGACTCTTGTCTAACTGAAGGTCGTAGTCGAGATTGTACAGCCCCTGGATGTGCTCTTGTTGGGCGCTTCCCATTTCCGTGTCGGCGTTCATCTCGGCCATTTCTTGCTTGAGGGAAACTTGAAAAGAGAAAAGGAGGGAGGGGGGGGGATGGACATACATATCTACTCTATAATTTGCAGCTAGTATCATCATTCCATAACATCAGGTGCCTGTCCCACTTCTTTATAAGTAAATTTCTGAAAATCCCTTATATCTTTCAATTATACTCATTACTCCATAGGCCATAACACATGCTAAAGAGATTCATATTCAACGCCAAAAAGTTCATTAGATGATTTGATCAATTATCTACATATACTGAGATCATTGAACCTCTTACTGCCAAAATGAAGGTGAGATCAATGATCGAATTCAGGGTGATAACATTAGTGACATCCTGCCATTCAAAAAGGTACCTCAACAAAAGTGGGTCCCATGTGATATGGAGGAAACTTTTGGGGATCGAAGTACTGGTACTTGGTATCCGTGTGGATCTCTTTGTCCAGGTAGTTTATCAGTGGTAGACAGTAGAAAGTGTACCTGAGTCTAGAGTCTCCTATTATTCGAAAAATACCATTTGTGGTCTACCTCATCCTAGAGTCATCTACAACCATCTATTTTCATTCCAGAATTCCACTAAGCAATGGTGGCCCTCTGATTGACTAGGTCGAATCGTTCTGACTGTACTGAGATCGGAAAATGCTACGGGGATAGCAAGCTTAAAAACCGTCGCTGTGCTGCGGCTCAGAAGCTTACAGTAAGCATTCTGACAGCTATCCATCTGGGCAGGTTGTTGATTTTAGACTTTCTGGATCCTGCAGATCCTCGGCCCGATTAACGTTCCTTCCTGTTCGAATCCTATAAGTGCCGAACACGAACTGTGAACTCTTTATGAGCGGAAGGAGTTGAGTGACTATAATATAACTAATCTAGCTGTGATCATGCGTTGCGACTGGGAAATATTACTTTCTTCAGCTTCATATGGTCAAGGAGAAGTGGAAACATGCTTGATTCAGTCGTCCGATCCATTATTCGATCGGTACGGCTGCATGGTAGCATCAGTACCAAATCCGCATTTCGAGACAACTACTCATCCACAGGTTATGTTCTACTCATAGTATATTCAAGAGGACTTGCTGGTTATACCGGGTGACTCTTTGTATGAGTCTAGGTCCGTGTCGGGAGCCGTATGTACTTTTGTTTAACCGACCCGCTGAGACAAAAGTCTGTGCGCCGCATTCGTCACCTTGATATCGCTATCACACTCGGACGTTATTTATGCACTCGCATGCCTGTTCGAGTATTTTTTTGCCTCTCAGGTTGCACATAAACTGTCCGAGCGATATGCCTGATATCAGAATTGTCTATCAACGTCGACTGAGTTACATATAGGGCTTAGGCACCTCTTGTGGTGATGTACAAAGATGGGATGAGCAAGTGGAGAATAGCTCCAGGGCTGGGCTGTGTTCGTGTCATGCTTAAGTGGTGGTCTGCTATAACACAGCTTTAGTCTAGGTCAGAGTCTCCTATGCATCTTGTTGGCTTTCTTCGAGTTCTCTGATATTGATTCTACGCTTAGTTCAGACCAATGAAGACCTCATTTGATATCTGAAAGTAACTCGAAGGTCAGTAGTAACATATAGTAATGCTGATATAAAAGTCGGCAACTGAATATCACCACTACTTACGGCTTCACTTTACTACGCTCTTGTAACCACTCATTAGATCAAATATTGACTCAATTCTAGACCAATACCTATTCATCCTAAAGATATTATATGGTGAGATAGCCCTGGTCTTATAACGACATGAGATCAATACTATCAAAGCAAGCTGATGCACTGATGCTATAACCCAGGGATATCTGCCTATATCCAGTTAATCCTTCTTATATTGACTCCAAGGCAAAAGGCATAGCCTACTACATATCTTAACCCATTGAATCAGCAAAGATAGAGTAATAGTATATCATAGGGCTGGTATGAAGAATGGCAAAACGTTGGTACCGCCCTACAATGGGGCATCTGTCACTTTCTTCGTCGAGGGGTACCTCTTCTTCTCCTCCAAGGTTTTCACCATCCATTGCAAAATCATTGCAAGTTGACTTACAAAGTTGATAACAACATTCAAGTAAGTGAATCCTATTAAAAATGCCAAAGAAAACTCTGCAAAAGCAGAAAACAACCCTGCACAGCTTCTGGCAACGCAGTGGTACTCCAACCCCGCGTGTGCTAGACCTGCCAGCAGCGAGCAACGACTCGCCCCTGATACTTCGAAAACGATCTCTGTCCCAGACAGAAAATCACACTCAGTCATCTGGACACGCAGAGCTATGGAACTGTCTTGAGTCGCAGGGTCAGGATTCTGTACCTGCTGCGATGAACTGGTCTGGTGTGGTTTCGGATAGGGAATCTGGCTCCATCAAGGAATTGAGCTGTCCCGTGCCGCAAGGCGGGGAATGTGAACATCCTGTTGTTGCTTGTCCTGACCGTGATCAAGAGGAAGAACAAGACCTCGATGAGGCAGTCAAGGAATTGAGCTGTCCCGTGCCGCAAGGCGGGGAATGTGAACATCCTGCTGTCGACGAGGCAGTCAAGGAATTGAGCTGTCCCGTGCCGCAAGGCGGGGAATGTGAACATCCTGTGGCTTGTCCTGATCGTGATCAGGAGGAAGAACAAGACCTCGGTGAGGCAGTCCTCGATGAGGCAGACCTCGATGAGGCAGACCTCGATGATGAGGTGGAACAAGTCCTCGATGAGGCGGAACAAGACCACGACGACAAGGTCTATATCAAATACGAAAGCTCCTCTGACGATGAAAATTTCGATGAGGATGAGATGCCTGCAGAGGCAGAAATAATTGATGAAGAGTCCTCTGGCGGACATGCCCTAGACTCACAGTGGATCAGGCGTGGCGAACCACTTGACCTCATCGGTCCAGATGATCCAAATGATCATTCTGGTGATGAGGAAAAGGGAAAAGCCCCCGTCCGCACTTTTGATCCTTTGTCGAATGAATGGCAATTGATCCGTATGCTTCGCGAGGTCCTTACATTCCTCAAACATGAAGCTTTGAGCATGGATGACATGCTAGAGTGGCCGCTGTTAGAGCAGCCAATCAATGAAGATACCTGGAAGTTGCTCCGCGCAGACGGTGTAGACTCCCTCGTTGACTGTTTCAATGCTGCAATTCCTGTTCGAACCAAACTTGTGTTTGAACAGAGCAAGATACGCAAGGCAGACTTACTGGGCTTGCATCATGCGCTGTCAGAGAAAAGGACCGGCATCTATGTTGGCGTTTGCAAGATGGCTTCACGGCCAACGTTGTACTGTGGTAGCTCAAAAAGCATCCGCCAGCGTTGTCGCCAGCACCTTCGACCCTCATCGCAGAAGTCAAACCCATGGAACCGGTTTTATCAAAGACTGGCTCAAGGTGATACGGCAGAGTTCCGCACTCTAGTGGCGTTTGACGTCCCAGTTGAAAGGGTAAAACTGGAGCTCATAGAGGGCGTTTTCATTTTTTTCCTTGGGACGCTTCAGGAGGCCAAGCGCAATACCATGTGGAAGAAAATGTCGACTTGGCAGCTCTATAACAGATTGACCTCCACGGTTAAGCGTTCATGGTCCATCAATATTGGCGATCCGCTGAATGCTAACTGGCCGCTTGCTACCGGCTATGTGATATGTGAGCGAGGAGATTCCCCTTGTCTCAATCCCCACTGCCACAATATCACAAAATCAGGGTACGGGCTTCCTTCACGTGAGACCCGTAAATATCTTGTTACAAATGACCCATTTTCGGGATTCATCTGCCGCGTGTGCTGGTATTGGCGCGAAAGAAAGGGGGAACTCCCGACGGCCGAAGTCGTGGAAGTTCTAGTGGCCAAAGCTCGCAGACGTGAGCATAGGCAACAGGTCCGCTCTGGCATGATACCCGGTGCTGTCCTCAAGTGCGAGGAAGAGGGCTGCGAAGCGATAGAAGAGCCATTTGCAAAGGTCCGCTTCCTCAGTGCCGGTGGCCTTCTACGTTGTCCAAGGCACTATAGCAGGTTCAAGGCAGTTTTGCAACGGAAAAGAAGGAGCAAAGAGGAAAAGTTGAGTATAAGCAGAGCCGCTAGACTCTTGTGGGCTGCAAGAGCGCTGAGGGAAAAGAAGGTGTGCTCCCGTGCGTACTGCCGTGTTCGTGCAGATGTGCCTCTGGCATCTGGAAAGCTCCCAAGGTTCTATGGCCCGGAAGGCTCAACACTTTGCGGAAATTGCCATTCAAAGATTCGCAATGAACCAGGGGTTCAGAACATTGAGCAACGCCAACAACGTGTCGCTTTGACCCTGCAGCTTGACAGCTTGAATGGGAAGACATTTCAATGTGGTGTTGCTGGCTGTTCCAAGACGATGCCTCGATGGCCACCTATCGGCAGTCCAGAAGAGACCAAGAAGAAGAATTATTTTACTGATACAAGGGCAATTCGCATGAAGCTCCCGTCGTTCTTCAGTCTCTGCACAGAAAACGCTGGTATACGCTGCAATACCTGCACAATGAAAAAGTGCATACCTGCCGGTCCTCTCTATAACATGGATGAGCTTCGACCGCTGGGTGATATCTTGGCCGACCTCTGGGCCATTATCCGACCAGAAGCCAATCCTGCCGAGTCTGAGGTTTCCCCTTGACAGCTCGGCCTTCTAACTGAGAGTCTTCAGTGGCCTCAGTGGTTTGTTGTTTCCCCTGGAAACTCCGTGATATTAACAAGAAGTTATGGTTAACTTTCATCAACAGTTTGTTGGTCTTCCGCAGTGAGACCTTCGTTATATAATATCCCAGCTTGGATATTATTCGGAAGATGCCATTTCATGATGCACAAGGTGCAAATTGAGCACTGGAAAGTAGCTGATTTCCAGCAGATATGGGCATCGATGCACGAAAGTGCGGGTCGCTGGAAAGTACCTGATTTCCAGCCAACATCAGCATCGAGCTTGGGCCTCTACGGGGCGCTGGTGACTAGTAACCGAAAGGTGAAGCTAACTCAAGCTCAGACAATGAGAATATCAAAGCATGTTGTCCAAAGTTATGAAAGTTTATGATCCAATGGGCTTTGACAGAGGAATGAAAGGTAAGTCTAGGGCTTTTCATCAGCTCCTCATCATCCAATTCATTCTTTCATTCTTTTCCCATATGCCCTCATGGAACATACTGATTTTGAGATAGGAGGAAACCCCGCCCAAAAGAAGGGGGAGAGAAAATCGGCCGCGGCCGAAAACAAAAGAGAGGAGGCAACAAGTCCTCCCAAGGAGGCAATGTAAGTCCTGCTTGCTTTCTATTTCTATCCTCTGTACTATAGTATGGAGCTAACTATACAACAGCAGGCGGTTGAAGAGGCCATAGCAGCTCGCCGTGATTGTGGAGGTTGTGAGGGTCGCAGGGGTCATCGCTGTTGTTTGGTATTAAAGGGCAAGAGCTTCGTGAGGAGGCAGGAGCGAAGCTCATGCTAACTCCAACTCAGACACTGAAACACTAATGATTAGAATGTCAACAGATGTTGTTCAAAGTAAACTATGAAGAGAGAAAAATAAACATGGAAACATTGCTGTTTTCCTTAGGTGATTCTTCGAATTCTCCGACTTCGACTCGGCACTGCCAGTAATGGGAATCTTGGAAGGAGCTGTGTAGGATGAGTATTGCCACAGAATGGTAGGCGGTAGGCCAGTGTGAGGTTGAGTGAAAGCCAATTGCATCGTGAGAAATCTCAGCGGTGAACTGCTACCGTACCGCCTGTGACGTGACCAGGGAAGCTTCGAGTCGAGCTCGGCTTTGTCTAACCTCAATACCCTCATGAATCTTTGTGCATCCTCATTCCGAAATTATCTTGGGACTTCTTTCTACACTCCCTCCCACCTACCTCTCTGCAGGAGCCATAATGGCATCCATTCTGCTGCGATTTGAAAGTCGAAATGGCCAGTTTCGACTCACAGTCAGCCCGCAGGAACTGTTCCCTGCGCTGAATCAAAAGGTATTTGAATGAATCGTTTTGGAAGTATTACTCAGTTCAAAGAGTGTCAAAGGCTTACCCATCAGATCCTGGAACACCTCCCAGCAAACACCGAAGCTTCATCCATCGCTCTTTCAAATAAACCGATCGGCACAGGTGGCGAGGAGAGACAAATAGCAGGACTGCAAGGTGTCTCGCTGCAACAGGTTGGCCTGAAGTGAGTATTTCGGGGAATTGCCACCGTTAACCAAGGACATCACTTACACTCCCTGGCCTCTCAGACATGGTGACAAACTCTTTGTGGGGTACAACGAGCAGACGCAACACAACGGAACCTCGAACGGCACTACCTCCACCACTGCAGAGCACCGGCTCAATGGTGCACCCATTCCGGCGCAACAAACGGTCCCGATCCGCCCGCAGCCAGGCCCTTCCACCTCGTTGAAGAACCCGTGGGACTTGGTGCGGCAATCCCCACTAGACAACTTGCTAGATAAGAAAGATGGGAAAATCAAACGCGGAATGGATTACAAGATGTGCAGGCATGGTCCACGAGGCATGTGCGACTACTGCATGCCACTTGAGCCATATGATAGGAACAATATGGCGGAGAAGAAGATCAAGCATCTTTCCTTCCATTCATACCTGCGGAAGATCAATGCCGCAACCAACAAGCCTGAGCTAGGAACATCATTCATGCCGCCTCTTAATGAACCATACTATCGAGTCCGACCCAACTGTCCTTCCGGTCATTCCCCCTGGCCCGAGGGAATCTGCACCAAGTGCCAACCAAGCGCAATCAGCTTGCAGCCCCAGGATTTCCGCATGGTCGATCATGTGGAGTTTGCCTCACCTGAGTTGATCAACTCCCTCCTCGATTTCTGGCGAAAGTCGGGTGCTCAACGGCTCGGATTCTTATATGGAACTTACGAAGAATATACCGAAGTGCCTCTCGGCGTGAAGGCCGTTGTGCAAGCAATCTATGAGCCTCCACAAGTGGGCGAGGTTGACGGCATCACACTTCATGATTGGCACAATGAAAAGGAAGTAGACGAGGTGGCCAGCCTCTGTGGGCTGCAAAAGGTCGGTGTGATCTATACTGACTTGCTTGATGCTGGGCGTGGAGATGGATCCGTGGTATGCAAGCGGCACATTGACTCTTACTTTTTGTCATCACTCGAGATCGCCTTCTCTGCAAGACTCCAAGCACAGAACCCGAAGGCTACAAAGTGGAGTCGCACAGGTCAATTCGGCTCCGACTTTGTGACTTGTGTCCTTAGTGGCGATGACACTGGGGCCATCGCTATCAGCTCGTACCAGGCATCTGTTTCAGCCGTTGAAATGGTCCGCGGAGACATCATTGAACCATCTGCCGACCCAACTGTGATGCTGGTGCAATCAGAGCACGACGAGGACATCGGTAGCAGGACCAGATATATTCCCGAGGTCTTCTACCGCAGAATTAACGAATACGGCGCAAGCGTTCAAGAAAACGCCGAGCCAAGTTTCCCAGTCGATTTCTTGCTAGTAACCCTCACTCACGGATTCCCGACGGAAGCAAATCCCATCTTCACCAACAGCCGGTTCCCCATCGAGAACCGAGAGGTCATCGGTGAGAGCCAGGAACTTCGACACGTCGCCCAGAAACTCATGTCCCACGGCGACACCGACAAGGCCATCCAAGGGGTGTCCGACTTCCACATTCTGTGCTTCTTGCATGGTCTCAGCACATTCAACAAGGTCAGCTTTTCTCAAGGGTCTCACGCTTAGATAAATGACGCTGACTTAGATTTCAAAGGACGAGGAATCGCTACTTTGCCGCGTCGCACGAACGAAATCTCCCGCAGAAGGGATCCAGCTTGTGAATACCCCAGGATGGGCAACGTTGATGACAATTCTTCAGGAGAGTGGTGAGCGCCCCCCTAAGCGCCCCTGGCCCACCCCGGCCCAGCCTTTTCGGTCGTCTTCCCAGGATTCCCAAATCCGCAAACGCCGCACCCCCCAACCCTCCACATTACCCCGCTCCATTTCTCCCAGCCCAGAGAGTGAGCAGCTTGCTAAGAGGTTTAAGGGAGCTAGTCTAGAGTAACGGATTTTGTACTCTCGCCATTTCCCGTCGTCCCCAGATCCGGTTCCGCTTTCCCCGTCGTGTTTTCCCAAGGAATTGCTGGATGAATCTCGATTGGCTCTGCCGCCACTGTCGCCTAGGCCTTGTCGATATTCGAGGTTCGAAGGTGGAAGGTGGATTTGTGTTAGAATTGCGGGTAGATAGAGGTGGTTGACGTTCAATCAAACCAAGACAGCAGCTAGCAGCAGCTGATCTTCTTGCATTATGACAAATCCCCACGCCTTTGATAGAATACTCTCTCCATGATACCGTAGTGCAGAATTCCATAGACATTTACCTCGCTCTCCAGATGGCGAGGAGTGAAACTGCTCGTAAAGTTCTGCATGCACTCGGGAGTCCCTGACATGGCTGTTGGAGAATCCGACTGCTTACGCAGACCAGAGTGACTTTCGCACATCTCGTGGGCCAACGTCAGAAGCTCTCAGTAATAGTGAGCGACTAGATCGTATTTTCGTCCTGTACCGTGGAAGTAAGCCAAATTTGAAATCATGCTTGGATGATCGTCCCTTACCGTCGAAGTGGCGTTTTCGTCTCATCGCTATCTAACGGGTACTTAAGTAATGATCTAGGATCTCTTTCCTCGTCATGATGGGAGAAAAAAAAGCCTTCTTATAATTCATTGTCTTTATCCTCGGCTATTCTGGATTTCCTCTCCAAATTCAGCTCGACTGAGAATTGTTCCAGGCCTTTTTGCTGCAATAAAGGTTGAGCAAACCTTTCGCAGATTATTCTTCAATGACACAAACCCCCGCAGATGGGGTACTAAACAAAGTATGAAGCGAGAGTCCTCCAATTCTTCATTGATTTCAAATTCCGGTTCACAGCCAAATATTGGCTGAGGTTGGGTTTTATCTTCACCAAAGACTGCCCAAACCGACTCATACTGATACAACGACCTGCCTCGACGAATATGCCAGCAGAGGTCAGAGGTTGGGCAGATGGCTTCCAGAAAGGGGAAAATGGAATTCAAGGTCGGCATCGAAAAGCCTAGTATAGTTAACAACTGAAATCCAGGATCTGGGTAATATCAACAAAAACTGACCGTCAGGGCGATAGGGAACTTTCAGTATGATTAATTCTTACATTTGGATTTCTTCATCTAGAGACTGCCAGAGTGCATTATCAACAGAAGAAGTATGTTCAGAGTCGAAGCCGATAATTGAAGCTTGATGGTTGAAATGTTCTATTGAGTGACTCTCTGGGTATCTTTATGTAATTCTAAGTTAAATCTCAGCTTAGCCCATCCTCATACTCCTAGAGAGATTGCACAGGGGCAATTACCCCTCTCTCCCATCCCTCCTTTTCTCTTTTCAAGTTTCGCAACAGCGACGAAATGGCAGAAATGAACCCAGACACCGAAATGGGAAGCGTCGAGCAAGAGCACCTCCAGAGCCTCTACGATCTTGAGTACGATCTTGAATTGGACGAAAGTCTCCCCCCTCAGTCCGCGACAGAGCCAAGCGAAAACGCTCTTGTTGCGCAGACCCAGGCTCTCGAGCTTGGAATGGAAACCCCCGCCATAAGGATAGGGCGCGAATACGGACTCTCAAACGTAAGTCGTGTCCAGCTCTAAGGTTTTTCATCAGTTCTTCATTATCCAATTCATTCTTTCATTCTTCTACTATATGCACTTATGGAATATACTGATTTTGAGATAGGAGGATAAGAAAACCCCGCCGCTGAAAAGAAGGGGAGTGAAAAGCCTAACAACAAGGGCAGTAAGAACTCGGCCCCGACCGAACCAAAAAAGTCCTCCTCTGGAGGCATCCAAAAGGCCTCCAGGGGAGGCAAGAATAAGTCCTCTACAAATCAAAGTGGCGAACGAGACTGTGATGAACGAAACTGATATGGAAATCCAAATCGACTGGGACACAGAGGTACCAGCTCCGCCACCATCCCCACCACCACCACCACCCTCCCTCCCACTACCCAGTGAGAATGCACTGGTGGTGCGTACCCAAGCCCTTCGGCTTGAAGCAGAGGAAACCCTCGCCCAAAAGATGGGGACAGGCGCACCCTTTAAGGTAAGTCTAGGGCTTTTCATCAGTTCCTCATCATCCAATTCATTATTTCATCCTTCTCTTGATCTGTCCACGGTCATCTATATGCGTCTCATCTATGGACAAGGCGTCCTCACATTGCATCCCGAACATCTTTCTATATGTACTCATGGAATATACTGATTTTGAGATAGGAAACCAAAAAGCCCGAGAAAAAGGGCAAAAAAGACTCGACCAAAGCAAAATGGCCAACACTGCTACAGACACGGTTATGCAAGGCCAGGAACAAGCTCTGGACCAAATAGAATGGGATGAGACCCCACCACCACAGTCCCCCCCTGCCGCGCAGCCAAGCGAGACCGCGTTGGTTGCCCAAACCCAAGCTCTTCACCTTGGAACAGAAACCCCCGCTGCAAAGATGGGGAAGGGTTTCGCACACAAAAATGGTGGATATGAACCAGGATACCGAAATGGCGCAAGAGCACCTCGAGAGCCTCTACGACATTGAATTGGGCGACACCCCCCCTCCTCAGTCCCCCCCCCCCCCGCCGCCAACAGAAACTGTGTTGGTTGCTGAGACCCAAGCCCTTCGGCTTGAAACAGAAACCCCCGCTGGAAAGATGGGGCTCGAAGCTTGCTCCTCCAAGGTAAGTCGTGTTCAGCTCTGTCATTGCATCCCGAACATCCTTCTATATGCATTCATGGAATATACTGATTTTGAGATAGAAGGAAACCTCCAAGGCCCCAAATAAAAGGGAACGTTTGCTCAAGTCCGACGAAAGAAAGTCGTCCGCAGAAGGTAAGTTCTAATTATCTTTTATTCATACTCTCTATACTACAGAATAGAACTAACTATATAACAGCAGACCATCGAGGAGGCCACCCCTATTCGCCATGGTCGTCGCCATCCTTGTCAAAGAGAACGTTCTGGAAACGGCGGTGTCCGTAAGTATAACTTCCTTTTTCCTATTCTCTGCCACATTAAATCATATATGAGGCTAGCCCTCTCCTATGACTATTGTTGCTTGTTTCGTCATGAGAATGATGAGACTGGTTGATACTGACATGGGCTATCTAGGGAAAGGCCAGAAGAAGAAGGAGTGAGGCGGGCTTCTGTGTTCCTTGTTTTTTCTTTTTTTGTTTCTTTTCATATTTTTCTGTATATGATTAGGGACGGTGGGAAGGCATTATTTTTATCATCAATAGGAAGGGTGACCAGAGGGTCGTTTTTTGATCAACACCATTTCACCATGTAAGCTAGAACTACAGAATGGCTACGAGCTTCTATTTTCATCTTCCTGCAATACTTACAGGTCAAAGATATAAGAGAGCTATGATCCTTTTTAGGTAGGCACTTATCAGGATGTTGAGCATTCGCATGATATTCTCCCAGCATGTCGTATATGAACCCTCAATATCTGGGCTATCCTCGATGGGAATAGCTACTCAAAGCCCTCTTGGCATTGCAGATGTTATTAATGACATCGTTGCCAACGTGGTGAGTATAAAAGGTGATCTTTCTCTCCAGCTATTCTTCCTTCTTCTTCTTCTTCTTCTGTCTCCCCTGAACAGTCCAAAACTGTTTTAGACTGTTATATATAGCAAAACTGGTAACTTCTTGGCCATGCTAATCTTCTCTAGTATGTTTTTATTTGACCAAATGCCTATATATTCCCTTCCCCTTCCATTGACGGACATGACTAACCGTTGTATAGGACCTCGGGACCTCGGGACCTTCGATCCTCCATGACAGCGACCACCCATGACAGCGATCCTCCATGATGATTCTGCACAACGGCGACCCCCAATGATGTGATTATCTACAAACAAGAGACAAGTCTTTCAAGGTTCTAGCGGCACATTCTAATCTCTGAATAGCTTCATGAACCTCTTATCATATTACATAGTGAAATAATGTTGATCAAAAAATGACCCTTGGGCCTCAGTGTCATTTGACAAAATAAAAAGATTTCCCACCCTCCATCCCAGTTGATAATAAAAAAAGTAAAAAAAAAAAAAAAAACAAACAACAAGAACAACAACAGAACAAAAAAAGAAATTCAAAAAATAAAAAAACAAAACAAAACAAAAAACAGTAAAACAAAAAAACAAAAAAACAAACGCCTTAGGCGTTCTCGTTCTCGCCGCCTAGATAGTATATGTTAGTATTAGCTTCATTATTCTTATAAAGAAACAAACAACAATAGTTATGGGAGAAGACTAGCCTCGCATATGACTTAATATGGTAGGGTATAGGAAAAAGGAAGCTATACTTACGGCTACTACAGTTCCTAAAAAGTCCTCTAGATCGGGTGCGGTGGCGACGATTACGGCTATCGCGGCCGCTATAGTTCTGACGGACAGCGATTACCTTTGCTATCCGCTGCTGTTGCATAGTTAGTTCTATACTATAGTATAAAGTCTTATACAAGGAGCTTTATTTATGTCTATTTGTCTCCGGACGATCTGATCTATTTCTTTCTAGTAGGTTTAGTTTTATATTAGTTTTCTATTAGTTTTATTCTTTTTGGGATTTTATATAAATAATATAATAGATATATTCAGTAATATTATTGTATAGTTTACTTTCGACTTTTGTTAAGTTTTTTTTGTTTTTTTTTGAAGGTTTTTTAATTTTTTTTATAGAGTTAAAGAAATAATATATTACTATAGTAGATCTTAATAGAGTTTATTCAGTATATACTATAAAATATAAATTATTATATGGATCTAGATTATATTGAATTATAATAGAATATAGACTGAAGAATGTAAGGATAAAAGATTGAAGATAAGATGAAATCTAATAAACTTATATAGTCTACTTAGACATTAGTATAAGAATACTGTTAGATTATATTAGTATAATTTTAAATATTGAATTATAAAATAATTATAAGTGTTGAAGGGAAAATATGGTAATACTATAGATATGCAGGGCTTTATAAATATCTAATAGAA